TTGTTTTATTTTTTTGAGACAGGGTTTCTTTGTGGCTTTGGAGGCTGTCCTGGAACTTGCTCTTGTAGACCAGGCTGGTCTTGAATCCACAGAGCTCTGCCTGCCCCTGTCTCCCAAGTACTGGGACTAAAGGCGTGTGCCACCAACGCCCAGCTTACCAATCCACTTTTTAAAAACCCCATCTTAGAATGTGTTTTTAGTTATGTGTATGAGTGTGTGTCTGTATGTGGGCATGTGCACAGGGGTGCAGGAGGAAGTGTCTGATCCCTTGGAGCTGGAGTTACAGTGGTTGTGAACCACCAGACCTGGGTACTAGGAATCAAACCTGTGTCTTCTGAAAGAACTGCAGGCATTCAACCTCTAAACCCATTCTCCATCCTCTTAGACTTTTTTTTTTTTTTGAGGCAAAGTCTTTGACTGACTGTCCTAGAACTTACTGTGTAAACCAGGCTGTCCTAGAACTCACAGAGATCTGCCTGCTTCTGGCCCCTGAGTGCTGGGATTAAAGTTGTATGCCACTATGCCTAGCCCCCTTTTAAAAATTTAAAACAAATTTGTTTTATGTGTATGGGTGTTTTGCCTACATGTAAGTGTGTGTGCTGCTTCCATGCCTAGTGTTCTTGGATGCCAGAATACGGCATTAGATCCTCTGGAACTGGAGTTACAAATAATTGTTACCTACTATATGAATGCTGGGAATTGAACCAGGTCTTCTAGAAGATTTAGAATGTGTTTTTAGTTATGTGCATGAGTGTGTGTCTGTATGTGGGCATGTGCACAGGAGTGCAGGTGCCTGTGGAGATCAGGAGGAAGTGTCTGATCCCTTGGAGCTGGAGTTACAGTGGTTGAGAACCACCAGACCTGGGTACTAGGAATCAAACCTGTGTCTTCTGAAAGAACTGCAGGCATTCAACCTCTAAACCCATTCTCCATCCTCTTAGACTTTTTTTTTTTTTTTGAGACAGAGTCTTTGAGAAAAGTCTTCTGACTGTCCTAGAACTTACTGTGTAAACCAGGCTGTCCTAGAACTCACAGAGATCTGCCTGCTTCTGGCCCCTGAGTGCTGGGATTAAAGTTGTATGCCACTATGCCTAGCCCCCTTTTAAAAATTTAAAACAAATTTGTTTTATGTGTATGGGTGTTTTGCCTACATGTAAGTGTGTGTGCTGCTTCCATGCCTAGTGTTCTTGGATGCTAGAATACGGCATCAGATCCCCTGGAACTGGAGTTACAAATGGTTGTTACCTACTATATGAATGCTGGGAATTGAACCAGGTCTTCTAGAAGAGCAAGTGCCACTGTCTTAGTTAGGGTTACTATTGCTGTGATGAAACACCTTGACAAAAAGCAATTGGGGAGGAAAGGGTTTATTTAGCTTACATTTCCATATCTTAGTCCATCAATGAAGGAAATCAGCACAGGAACTCAAGAAGGGCAGGAACTTGGAGGCAAGAGCTGATGTAGAGACCATGGAGGGTGCTTCTTACTGGCTTGTTCCCCATGGCTTGCTCAGCCTGCTGTCTTATAGAACCCAGGGCCACCAGCCCAGGGGTGGCACCACCCACAATGGGCTGGACCTTCCCCATCAGTCACTAACTAGGAAAATGCTTACAGGCTTGCCTACAGCCCAATGAGAAATGGAGGCATTTTCTCAATTGGGGTTCCCTTCTTTCAGATGACTCTAGCCTGTCAAGTTGACATAAAATTAACCAGTACAGCCATTGAGGCATTTCTCCACCCTTCTGTTTTAAATATTAAGATAGTGTCTACTAAGGTGCCAGACTGGCTTTGAACTTGTGACCTTCCTGTCTCCCAAATGCTGAGTCTATAGGCATATGACACCATGCTCAGTTTTCTCAGTTTAATCTAGTTGGTCCCCATCCTGATTTATCATGGACCTGCAGCTCATTGGATCCTGGGACTTTACTCACCCTCCTTAGGATCCCAAACCTAACCTCCTCCCTCTTATTCTGCAGATTCGAATCTGGGCTCGGCCCAGTGCCATCGATGAGGGCCATGGTGATTATGCCCTGAATGTGACAGGCCCCATCCTAAACTTCTTTGCCCAACATTATAATACATCCTACCCTCTAGAAAAGTCTGGTGAGTGACCTCGGCCTTCATGGGGAGGTAGTGCTAGGATCCCCATCCATGCCCTCCCACTGATGTGTGGCTCCCTCCACAGACCAGATTGCCTTGCCTGACTTCAACGCTGGAGCCATGGAGAACTGGGGGCTAGTGACCTACCGTGAGAGTGCCCTGCTCTATGATCCTCTGTCCTCCTCCATCGGCAACAAGGAGCGGGTGGTCACCGTGATTGCTCATGAGCTGGCCCATCAGGTAGATGGCATGGGAGGAGCAAGAGGAACAGAGGTCTCGGAGTGTCTAGCTCTCCTGTGCCTAGCAGACAGTCGGCACGTGGTTAGATGCTATTAGTGATGGGTGGCAAGACCTGGGAAGCTCAGCAGACTCATCTGTGTCCCCTGCAGTGGTTCGGTAACCTGGTGACAGTGGCCTGGTGGAATGACCTGTGGCTGAACGAGGGCTTTGCCTCCTATGTGGAATATCTGGGTGCTGATTACGCAGAGCCCACCTGGAGTCTGGTGAGCCACCATTATGGGAATAGGGCCAAGGTGGGAGAGTGGAGCGCCTAGGATGCTCTTCCTGGGCCAGTCTCCTGATGGTGTTTGGGGACTCTGCAGAAAGACCTCATAGTGCAGAATGAAGTGTATCGTGTGATGGCCGTGGACGCACTCGCCTCCTCCCACCCGTTGTCCAGCCCTGCTGACGAGGTCAACACACCAGCCCAGATCAGTGAGCTGTTTGACAGCATCACCTACAGCAAGGTGCTACCTGGCTTCTTGGAGGCCCTGAGGGACAAGGGGTGTGGGGAGCGATATATACCACAGAGAGCCTCAGCACAGCTGCTGCTCTGGGGGTGTTGGTCCCTGGTAGCCAGCTTGGCCTCCTGAGCTCCCTCTCACCCTACCCCAGGGAGCTTCGGTCATTAGGATGCTGTCTAGTTTCCTGACAGAGGACCTGTTCAAGAAGGGACTTTCAGTGAGTACAGCTCCAGGTGGTCCCTCTATGTGGTGGCTTTCCCCTAGCACAGCCTTCCACAGCCCTGAGTACCACCCAATCCTGACCAAGATTTGTCTTCCCACAGTCTTATCTCCATGCCTTCGAATACTCAAACACTGTTTATCTGGACCTGTGGGAGCACCTGCAGAAGGTGGGTAATGCTCAAAGTCTCTGGGGACAGCATGTGTGAGACTGTGCCTAGCTGCCCTGTTTACCAGTTCAGGCAAACTGTTGGGAGCCTCAGTGGCTTGTCTATGAAATGGGTGTAAAGGTGGCTCCTTAAAGAGGGTGGGTAAGAGCCGGGCGTTGGTGGTGCAAACCTTTAATCCCAGCATTCAGGAGGCAGAGGCAAGTGGATCTCTGTGAGTTCGAGACCAGCCTGGTCAACAGCGAGAGTTCCAGGACAGCCTCCAAAGTTACACAGAGAAACCCTGTCTCGGGGAAAAAAAAAAAAAGAGGGTGGGTAAGACCCCTGTTCACTGTCTGTTCAGGTTCTTCTTTCTTTCTTTCTTTATTTTTTTAATGGGTTCTCTTCAGTTGATTCTCCCATCTTGTTTCCCAGGCAGGGCTTATCTTTTTTCTCCATGAACAGTCAACTCCCCATCTCATTTTAGTAGTGCTGGAATTGCAGGTAGTTACCAACACATTCAGCCCCCAGGATCTCTCTGTGTAACAGCCCTGGCTGTCCTGGAACTTGCTCTGTAGACCAGGCTGACCTCGAACTCAGAGATCCTCCTGTATTTGCCTCTACAGCATATCCTACTGGCCTGCACCACCAGAGCTGGCCCACTTGAGCTTCTTGCTTAGGCGCACCATGGTGGGCCTTGTGGGACCATGGACTTCAGGGCACCTACTCCCTCCTCGCTATCCTCCTTTCCCTCTTCCTTCTGCCAGAACTTTGGAGCCAGCTGTTTCACTGACTCAGCACTCCCAGATGCCTGTGCCCTGGGGCCCTCCCTACCTGGCACGTTTAGCAGTTTAGCATCGTGGATGCAAACTCTGACCTCTCTGTCTCTGTCCCTCCCTGCTTCACATTCCGTCCCCCCAGCTTCCAAGCCCTCTTGCCCTCCCCAGAGCCCCCTCTCCTTCCTGCCTCTCCTTAGGGCTGGAGTCCACCCCCCCTATGAGCCCACATCACTTTGTCATCGTCTATCATCCGGTCCCCATCCCTGCTTGCCTCCCAGTCGTCTCTGCAGACTTATCCCACCCCTCCTCAGCCACACCCACCTCTCCCGTTAATGTTTCCTCCAGAGCCCTTGGGCCCTGTCTTCCTGCACAACTACTCCCTGGCTGTTATTGTGTCCTTCTGGTTCCTTCCCAAGGCCATCTCACTGGGAAAGGGATATCACAGACTCACAACTGGACAGGTTCCAGTGCCCCCTCTCCCTAATCCCAGCCTGTCTGTTACCCCTTCCCATTCTGGCAGCTAATGGGTGGTGTGCCATGAGATCCTTCCTCTACCACTTGCCTTCCTGCCCTCCAGCAAAGCTTTCTCTCCTTCCCTCCCCTGTCTCCTGTGGCCCCAGACCTCCCGTGGCACCCCCATTCCCTCCTATTGGGGCACTTTTCCTCCACACCCCACAGCCCCATCCCTTGCTCCTGCCTGTGACATTGGGCACTGCTTTTTCTCTCTCTGTTATGGCACCCCCATTCCCTCCTATTGGGGCACTTTTCCTTCACACCCCACAGCCCTATCCCTTGCTCCTGCCTGTGACATTGGGCACTGCTTTTTCTCTCTCTGTTCTCATCTCTAACATTCAGAAGGTGCCCTGGCTGTGGGCCACACAGGTGTGCCATCAATGTGGAGTTAGCTAGAGGCACAAAGGTTCTCCAGCTTGCTTAGCACTGGGCAGGACAAGGAGAGGCAGAGCAGATGGGGTCCCTTGTCCTCTGTCCCCCTGTCCTACATAGGCGGCACCACAGGCCTAGGCTGGCCAGAATCTGCAGAGGCTGCCTGGTGGTAGGCATGGGAGGATGGTGTTTGACAGTCACAATGTGTTCCTCAAACAGGCCGTGGATGCACAGACAACAATTAAACTCCCAGCCCCCGTGCGCACCATTATGGACCGCTGGATTCTACAGATGGGCTTTCCTGTTATCACTTTGGACACCACTACAGGAGAAATTTCCCAGGAACACTTCCTCCTTGACCCCCAGTCCAATGTCACCCGCCCCTCAGAGTTTAAGTGAGCACATAGGGTCAGCAAGGCTTGGGTCGCAGGGAAGGGTGGGCCACAAGGAAGGAGATCACGTGGAATCAGGAGCATGGTGACACTTGGTATTGGTGTTGGACCATCACGGGGCACCTGCGAGGGATACCCATGGTGTGCCCAAGAGTTGCCCATCATCATTTACTGGACTCCGGGTCTCTCACTGCAGCTATATTTGGATCGTGCCCATTCCGTATCGCAAAGGTGAAACACAGCAGCAGCAGGAGGCTCACTACTGGCTGGAAACCCAGAAATGTAATGCAGCCCTATCTTATCACTGGCTCCTGGCCCATGTTCTGGGGGGTTGTGTGAGAGCTGAGTGAAGATTCCCTTCATTATTTCACTCAGCAAATGGAGCTGATGTCTTTGTTTCCAATTTTTCTTACTTCTGTGTAGTCTTGGGCAAATTACCATCCCTCTCTGGCCTTCATCTTTTTTTCTATCAAGTTGACAGTATCTGCTCCATTGAACTGTGTGAGAATTACAGGACAGAATTCCTGTAAACTGCTTAAGACAGTGACTGGCAGGTACAGTGAGCTGCTTTATATGACCAGGCACTGAAGAATCAAAGGTGAAGACCAGTCACTTACAGGCAGGAGAAGGAAGGCAAGCAATTAGAAACATCCAGGAACCCTCTGACAGTCTAACTGTAGAGTCTGGCTGGGGTGGTTGGAGTGGTAATCCAGGAGTCAGGGGTTCAGTCCCATGAAAAGGCCTAGAAAGTGAACTATACAGGGTACCAGTGGAAGTTGGCTAGGCAAGATAGATGCTGAGAGGAGGCTCAGAGTCCTTCATGGCCTTCTGGGCCACTCCACTCAGCTCTGACCTCAGCCCTGACCTCATCTCTGCTTCATAGCCCAGAATAATGCCTTCAAGACCTCTGGGAATGACGAGTGGGTCTTGCTGAACCTTGGTGTGACAGGCTACTACCAGGTGAACTACGATGAAGGCAACTGGAAGAAGATTCAGAATCAGCTGCAAACAAACCTTTCTGTGGGTATCCCTTCTGCCCTGTCCCCCATGGTATGATGGGCCACAAGACTGCAAGGTCTGTCCCCTATTGTAAGCCCAAAGTCACACTGTTTCCCTTTTTAGGCTATCCCTGTCATCAATCGTGCACAGATTATCCATGACTCCTTCGACCTGGCCAGGTGAGTGCCCTCCTGACTGAGACAGAAGCCTGTGACTGATGGTGACTGAACCCAGTTCCCCTGCTGTCCTAGATGCTACCAGGTGCTGTGCCAGGGGCTACCAACGCTTCCTGGGGTCCCCACAGGACCATTTCACAGAGAAGGACTCTGACAGTGTAAGCATACCTTATTCCAAGTGTCACAGCAGCCACACACAGGCCTGGCCTGCTCTACCATCCACTTCGCACCCACAGCCACAGTTTTCCAGAATGCTGTGTGCACACCTGTGCTTGGTGCTTAAAAACAAATCTGGAGCCAGGCAGTGGTGGCACACGCCTTTATTCCCATCACTCGGGAGGCAGAGGCAGTGGGATCTCTGAGTTCGAGGCCAGCCTGCTCTACAAGAGCTAGTTCCAGCCTCCAAAGCCACAGAGAAACCCTGTCTCGAAAAACCAAACCAAACCAAACTAAACAAAAACAAAACAACAACAACAAAAAAAACCTCAAAAAACCAAATCTGGGATGAGAAGGACAGAGAGACAGAGCTTGGGTACAACTATACTATGCCCATGGTGAGGTGCTAAGCTCTTTGATATGAGTGACATTCCCCAGAGACATCTGTGGACCAAATGTCCACAGATGGCCTAAGCCAGGAGATGGAGGAAAGGTCCAGTTAGGAAGGGTCTGGAGAGATGACTCAGTCAGTAAAGTGCTTGTCACACAGCATGAGAACAACCAAGTTCAGATTCCCTGAGTCCATGAAAGCCTGGTGCAGCAAAGTACTGCGGTAGTGTACTATAGCCCTAACACTGGTGGGGAGAGGCAGATCCCTGAGCTCATTGGCCAGCCAACCTCACGGACTCAGTGAGTTCTAGGTTTGGCGTGAAACCAGTTCTCAAAAAATAAGATGGAGAGCAACGGAGGAAGACACACACCCAACATTGGCCTCTAGCCATTCATAGATACATTCACAATACCTGCAAGCACAAATGTACACATCCACAGGAACACACACACACACACACACACACACACACCAGGCACACAAATAAAAACAAAAAACAAAGAAAAGTTCAGCAGAGTTGAGAGCATGGAGCTCTGAGCTCAGTCTCTTGATTGTGTGTCTTTAGGGAAGTCAGTATGTATCTCACCTTTAATTCCAGCATTTGGAAGGCAGGTGGATCTCGGGGTTCAAGGCTAAGGCCAGTATGGTCTATATGATGAGTTCCAAGACAGCCAGGGCTACATAGAAAGATTCTGTCTCAAGAAAAAACAAACAAACAAAACAATTATCACAGTGAAAACTAATAAAATGAGGATAACAGATAAGAAAACATGACTGGCAGTAGATTGAGGTGGGGCCCCAGAGTGCCTGTGTCACTCCTTCCCCCATGGAAAACATGAAGGTGTCAGGGGACCCAGGCTTAGGTCCTTGAGAACCTGAGCTAGGGTCTCCCGGGTGTAGCTAGGTTGGGTGGGTGCTGACTGGGCCTTCCTGTTTGTCTCCAGTGCTCAAAAGGTGAACATCACATTGGCGCTGGACAATACCCTCTTTCTCCAGAAAGAAACTGAGTACATGCCCTGGGAGGCCGCCCTGAGCAGCCTCAACTACTTCAAGCTCATGTTTGACCGCTCGGAGGTCTATGGCCCCATGAAGGTATGAGTTGCTGACATCCCAGGGTCTGAGTTACACCACTGGGAAGCCAATAGGAGCACTACCTGTCCAAGCTCTTTCTAGAAAATAGGCGTGGGGGGGTGGTGGTGCTGGAGAGATGGTTCAGTCATTAAGAGCACTGGCTGCTCTTCCAGAGGTCCTGAGTTCAATTTTCAGCAACCACATGGAGGCTCACAAATCATCTATAATGAGATCTGATGCCCTCTGCTGGCATGCAAGCATAAACACTATATACATAATAAATAAATACATCTTTAAAAAAAAAAAAAGAAAAGAGAGCTGGGCGTTGGTGGCGCACGCCTTTAAACCGAGTACTCCAGAGGCAGAGGCAGGCAGATCTCTGTGAGTTCGAGAAGGCCCAGAGAGAACATTGCCCTGGAAGGCTAGAGGCCTGTATTACCAGCCATGTGCCTCAGGCAGCTGTTCTCAGCCACACTGGCCACCACAGCCCATTCCCCCCAGGCTGGCAGTAACACACTGGTTTTACAGGCTTTGACATATCCATAGCATGGCCTAGACATGTATGTGAAGGTTCCACTGGGGAGACCAAAGATGTGGGAGCTGGCTCAGGATGAAGCTACCCATGGGATGTTCACTGCATCCTTCATAAAAGAGCAAACAGCAGACAAAGAAATACTTAAGTGTCTGATAGCTGGGAGTGACTGAGCTATACTGTGATGCTCTTTTGGTGGAAGGTTCATATCTCTAATAGACCACATTTAAGAGACTTTTGTTGTTGGGATTTGATTGTGTGTGTGTGTGTGTGTGTGTGTGTTTGTGTGTGTGTGTGGTGTGTGGGGAGGCCAGCCTGTCCACTCTAGAGCTGTGTCTGTCCACTTTAGAGCTGTGCTTACAGGCATGTGTTTATATAGGTTCTGGGGATTTAAATTCAAGTCTTCATGCTTGGGCAGCAAGCACTTTAGCTCCCTCCACCTTGTGTTTTGAGCTCACTGACCCTGGAGCCCACCATTTCAGCTGGGCTTGTTAGGAAACCCCAGGGGTCCTCAAGTCACCAGCTCCTACCACTGGGATTGCAGGTATTGCTGACTGGTTTGGCTGATATGTCTGCATGTGTTTGTGTATGTGGTGTATGTATGTGTGGGGTGTGTGTGTGTTCTGGGAATTGAACTCAACTCATGTTTGTGTAGCAAACCCTTGATTAACTGAACCATCTCCCTAGTCCAGTTTTTTGTTGTTTTTGTTTTGTTGTTGTTGTTTTGTTTGCTTATTTATTTATTTATTTATTTACTTATTTATTTTTACTTGAGAGCTTGTAATCTGAACTCTGGGCCTCTTATTTGCATAGCATGTTTTACATACTGAACCATCTAATCTCTAGTGGTAAAAAGAATCTTTAAATGTTTTTCATTTTTATTCTCTCAACTCCTTTTTTTTTTTTTTCTTTTTTTTGAGACAGGGTTTTTCTGTGTGACAGCCTGGTTGTCCTGGAACTCACTTTATAGACCAGGTGGGCCTTGAACTCACAGAGATCCACCTACCTCTGCCTCCTGAGTGCTGCGATCAAAAGTGTGTGCTACTGCTGCCTGACTGGCTTGGAACTCTTTAAAATTCTTTTATTTAAATTTTGTTGTGGCAGGTAGATCTCTGTGAGTTTGAGGCCACCCTGGTCTACAAAGAGAGTTCCAGGACAGCCTCCAAAGCAATACAGAGAAACCCTGTCTCAAAAAACAAAAAACAAAAAAAACAAAAAAAAAATTTTGTGTGTATGGGATGTTTCACCTGTACCTCTGTTTGCACACCTTGTGAGGACCTGGTGTCTGAGGAGACCAGAAGATGTTGGGTCCTCTGGAACTAGATTTACAGATGGTTACAAGCCAACATGTGAGTGCTGAGAATCAAATCTGGGTCCTCTGGAAGAGCGGGAAGTGCTCTTAACCCTTCAGCCATCTATTATTTATTTATAATTTTTATCTTTTTTTCCACCCTCCCCCTGTATTTTTTATCTTTTTAAAAATTAAACTTAAAAGTAACCCACTATCAGCCTAGGATAGCAAAGGCATATTTTGGCAAACAGAACTTTTTTTGTGATTGCCCAGGATCTCCTCCCAAGCTAGGTACTATAGTACAGTCACAATTTCGGCATTCAGCATACACCTGGGGTCTATGTTCCCTTTGGAGATGGCTGGAGTGCTGTGTCGGCACCCATGTCCCCTGTCTAGTAAGGCTCCATGGACTGATCCCATAGGAGGGTTTGTGTATTCCCTGGGGTCTTCTGCCACTTCCAGGACTGTCGCTCAGGCCATGCACAAGGTCCTGCTCTGCTGCCTGGGTGAGCATTGCTCTGCTTCCCGAATCCCCTGGCTCCCTTATCCATTTTCTCTCAGTGCGTACATATTCTGGGAGTTTGGAGCAAGGATTTGTGAGAGTGGGAATGCCTTTTATTCTGCTTTCACACTGGACTGAGAATTCATCTGGGTTTGGAAAGTTTCTGAATTGGAAATCATTCCTCAGAATGTCTAAGGTCTGGGTCTATTGACACCAGGGTCCTCGGGTTGTGGTTGAAAAGCCCAGAGCTTTTGTCATTCCCAGTTCTTGGTATGTGACAGTTTTCCTTCCTGGAAGCTTCTGGGCTCTTGTAGCAGTCCTGGTGGGCCAGTCTGGGTCTTGCCAGCTTGGACATGGATATGCTGTATCAGAACTATCTTATTGTCTCTCTGAAGTTATTCCCTATCTCTTGTCCACGTCATGTGTTTCTGGAGGTCTGAGTAATTCCACTTCTTTCTCTTGTGTTGGCCTGGCCTGGTTTTTATGCCCCTCAGAGTTTCCAGTTTCCAAACCCTCAATGTTTGCCCCTCACCTGCAGGATGTTTCTATTCTTCATATCTGGTCCCGGTGTCTTCTCGTCTCTCTTGAGAGTAGTTATTATGGGCTTTTGAAGTCTCCTTGTTTCATCTGAGGTTTCTGTTTGTTTTGGTCTCCTGTCAAGTTGGATTTGAGAGTGAGGCAATAAACAGTGACCTGAAGCCATACCAGAGTTGGAACAGAACAGAGGCCCACAAAAGGGCATGGTGGTGCACGCCTTTATCCCAGCACTCAGGAGACAGAGGTAGGAGGATCTCTGAGTGTGAGTTCAGCTTAGTCTACATAGCAAAATAAAAAGAATAGCCATGGATTCTAAATGTTCTCTCAAGATTGTCTGGTGTCCCCGGCATGGGCCTCTGTTACATGTAATGAAGCTGGCAGTGCCCACTTTTGGGGGTCAGAGTGGGAACTGACGTAAAGAAACCTCCACCTCTGACCTCCTTGTAATCCTTCTCACTGTGTGTTGTGTCCAGCACCCCCAGCCTCTCTGGGCTAGCATCTCCTGTGGATGAGGGCCAGCTGCCACTGGGCACAGGGGCCAGGCTGGAGTTTGACTTAAAGACTTGGGTTCCAGCCTCTACTCACAGCCCTAGCCTTACCCCATGCTCTTTAATTTTGAGCCTCAATACAGCAAGTTTATTCTCCCTTTTTTCCTTTCATCCCTCCTTCCTTCCTTCCCTTTCCTTTCTTTTCCCTTTTTTTTTTTGTGTCAGGGTTTCTCTGTGTAGTCTTCACTGTCCTGGAACTTTCTATGTAAACCAGGCTGATTGAGCCTCAATACAGCAAGTTTGTTCTCCCTTTTTTCCTTCCATCCCTCCTTCCTTCCTTCCCTTTCCTTTCTTTTCCTTTTTTTTTTTTTTTTTTTTTTTTTTTTTTTTTGTGTCAGGGTTCTCTGTGTAGTCTTCACTGTCCTGGAACTTTCTATGTAAACCAGGCTGGCCTTGAACTCAGAAATCTGCCTGCCTCTGCCTCCCAAGTGCTGGGATTAAAGGTGTGCGCCACTATCGTCTGGCTAGCAAGTCCTTTTCTGCAGAAGCTTGGTGGCAAATCCTTCGTCTCTGTCAGACTGGGCCTGTCTCCCTCCTCACTTCCCAGTTGCCCTGTGGCATCACAGCCACTATCTCTCCTGTAAAACAAAGAAGTGCTTGGGGAGGGGAGAGGTCAATTCCTTTTACCGTTGGATAATGGCTTCAGTTCATCACAAAAGTCTGTCTGCCACATCAAACCAGAATCTGCAAAGGATTTTAATTTAATAAGAGTATGGGGCTGACATGAGGTTAGGTAAAAAGAGCAGCTCACAGGATTCGATACAAGCTAAGAAAGGAATGCAAGAAGAAGAGGGGATGAACTTGCCAGTCTGAAAATAATAGTTTGGGTCCATCCTCTGTGTTTGCTTATCTGTTTCCTGAATTACTCACAGTAAGAGCAGGGAGGGAGACCTGGTGTTACAGAAGCAATGATGGTGGACGAAGCGGGTTAGGGCTGACTCTGGCTTTGAGGAGAAAGAATACCAACTCAGTCACCTGAAACCTAGACTTAAAGGTGCTGGCCTTGGGCACACCCTGACCTCTCCCTTTCATGCCAGCACCCTTTCATGCCTACAGAGGCTGCTGGCCCAGGCAGGTGGACCTGGGCCCTTGACACTACTCCTACATTCTTTCCCCAGAGTTACCTGAAGAAGCAAGTCACGCCCCTCTTCGAATACTTCAAAAATTATACCAACAACTGGGCCAACCTCCCACCAACACTGATGGAACAGTAAGTGTGACTTTTGTGAGTTTGGAGCTTCCACACAACCCGAGAGCTGGGAATACCACCTGGAAGTGTTCTCCTCTGGAACCTTCCATGTCAGACCACCAGCCAGCAAGCTCACCTAGGTAGGAGCAGGGGCTTTCTTGTGGACCCACTTGGCCTGTGGGCCCTTCTGGCCTCTTAAGTTTCGTGGGTTTCTTTGTCACAGGGTCTTATGTAGCCCAGGCTGGCCTGAAACTTTTGATCCTTCTACATTGGCCTCTCAAGTGGTAAAATTATAGATGTGCTCCATCACACTCATTTGTACAGTGTTGGGATTAAACCCTGGGCTTCTGAATGCTGCAAACATCTACAAACTGAGCTACATCCCTAGTCCTGACTTCATTAACTAAGACTCAAACTGAAAGCCTGAGGCTGCCTTGGGAACCAAGAAAGCACAGGCCACTGGCAGGAAGAAAACAGGACCCCAAAGGGTCAGGTGGACCACAGAGCTGTAGGTCCCTGGCTGTGTGTTGAGGACATTCTTGGTGGGGGTCTGGGCAGGAAGTGCTAACCACATGACTCCCCTGGAACAGGTACAATGAAGTTAATGCCATCAGCACAGCTTGCTCTAGTGGTCTCAAAGAGTGCAAGGACCTGGTTTCTGGGCTTTATAGTCATTGGATGAGCAACCCTAACAATAACCCGTGAGTGTTCTTCCCCTGTTCCTCCCTGCCGTCCTCAGCTGCCCCTGGGACTAAATAGAGCCCCAGGCCAGTCACTGGCAGCTCCTTTCCCCACTTTCCACTGATGCTCTGCTCCTGACTGCCCCTCACCAGGATCCACCCCAACCTTCGGTCTACTGTTTACTGCAACGCCATTTCTTTTGGTGGCGAGGAAGAGTGGAACTTTGCCTGGGAACAGTTCCGGAATGCCACTCTGGTAAATGAGGCAGACAAACTCCGAGCAGCCCTGGCCTGTAGCAAAGACGTGTGGATTTTGAACAGGTGAGGACCTGGTCCCACCCTCAGACTCAGCTAAGCCGCCATACTCCTCACCAGCACACAGACAGAGAAGCTCAGAGACAAACATTGCTTGCCCAAAGACCACAGGCTTAGTAAGTGACTGAGCCAAGACTGAAATACAGGGTCAGGGTCCCTAACTCTCAATGCTGTGGGCTCTGCTTTGAGCCTCAGGGCAGGGTCCCCTGCACCTGTTGAACTCTCTCCCACCCACCTTGGTAGCCCTTTCCGAGGCTGGACCTGCACAGCTCCAGAGACCACAGGACACCCATGACCCCTAGATCCACGACTGTCAGTCACATTCTTTGCTCCATCAGTGTTAGTGAGACAGTTTGGCTGAGTGTTCTTTAACTTCAAAGTGAGGAATGGCCACCTTACAGGGTGTGAGGGCTGTGAGGGCTGGAAATCCTTCCGTCTTTATCTGTTCTCAGAGAGCTGCATGGCAGCACATGCTTGCATGGCCAGTGATCCTGGGAGCCCTGTGCAGGTGCCTCAGTTTCCCTCCTGCAGAGGGGAGGTAGTACCTGGGTGCTCCACAGCTCTTCACACATCAAAGGGATGCTGAGTGATACAAGAGGTGGTGATTGTGTGTGAGGCATCAGGCTCCCAAACCTGTATCCTGGGACTACAGTTCTCAAGTGGTCCCAACCCTTGCCTCCTACCCACAGGTACCTGAGCTACACTCTGAATCCTGACTACATCCGGAGGCAGGATGCCACCTCCACCATCATCAGCATTGCCAGTAATGTGGCCGGGCAAACTCTGGTTTGGGATTTTGTCCGAAGCAACTGGAAGACACTCTTTGAGAAGTGAGTCTGATTGGGTTGTTGGGTTATCAAAAGCCAAGGCTGGAGGTGCTGGGTGACCCACACACCTCCTTGTCCCTGGTGCTGGACTTTCCCATTTAGAAAGAAAACTGAAGCCAGAAGAAAAATCTCCTACCAGGACAAGGAGTCAGGGACCTGCAGCCTGAACTGTGTCCTGGCAGGGCCTCTTTGGGATCTTGGGATGTCATTTTGTTTTGTCTCCTCATATCTCCCTCAAAATGGTTGTAGACTTCTATAGCTTCCTGACCCATGTAGAGAATGCCCCTTGGGTCTCTGCCCCCCACCCCTGCTCATCCTTCCCTCACCCCACAGTTATGGAGGAGGATCTTTCTCCTTTGACCTGACACATGTAGAGAATGCCCCTTAGGTCTCTGCCCCCCACCCCTGCTCACGCTCATCCTTCCCTCACCCCACAGTTATGGAGGAGGATCTTTCTCCTTTGCCAATCTCATCCAAGGAGTGACCAGGCGCTTCTCCACCGAATTCGAGCTGCAGCAGGTAAGGAGCAGACCTCTCCAAGCCCTGGGCTCTAGCTGGTTTTCCCAGTGGAAGGTGGTGGCTTCCATTCACAGAGCAAGGATCGAGTAGAGAGACTGTAGATATTAATGTTCCCATTTAAAAAAAACTTGGAATTTTAAAACTATATCTATTCATTGATTGTATGCCTAGGCTAACCCTAAACTCCTGGGCTCCAGCAATCCTCCTGCCTTTGCTGCCTGAGTAATTAGGATTGTGCACCTAGATTCCCTTACCTAAAAACTGAGATACAATTCGTATACCATATTAAGTGCTTTCTAGTACATTTGCAAGATTGTACAACCAGTCTTTGCCACCAATTCCCCAAAGACAACCTGTAGCTGCTAGCATTTCCTCCTCATTCCTACCCCATCCCCCTAGCCCCTGTCAATCACTAATCTACTTTATTTTTGTATTTCACAAGATTGAATCATGAAATTTTGTGACCTTTTTAATGGAATTCTGTAATATTTGTGTCGGGCTTCTTTCACTTAGCACCTAGGAAAAACACATGGTTCCTTTGTATGGCTAAGTAGTATTCCATTGTGTAGATCTACCGTAACATCTTGTTTATCCATTGCCAGCTGATGGATATTTCAGTTGTTTCCACTTTTTTCTTTTATGAATAGTGCTGCTGTGAACATTTATGCTCATATTTTTATACAAACATATGTTTTTATTTTTCCTGGGCATATTGCTAGTAGTAGACTCCCTGGGTCATTTCCTTATTTTTATGCTTAATTTTCTTGAATAAATGGCCAAAATGTTGTCCAGAGCAAATTTACTGCTGCAACGTTTCTGCCAGCAATGTAGGATGGTGTGTCCTGTGTGTGTTGTTATTTCTCTGTGTCCCTGGGTGTTGTCATGGTCTTTTCTTGATGACTACTGAAGGGAGCTTACTGGCCATTTGCATGTCTCTGGAATAACTTCTATTCATGTCTTTTGTCTGGTTTTAAATTGGGCTGCTGCCTTTCGTTGCTGTGTTATAACAGTTCTTTGTGTATTTTGAATACGGACCTGTGAATTGCAAACATTTCTCAGGTGGTCATCGCTGTCCCTAGGTGTACAGTTGATGTCTGTCATATACTGGTTCTATATTATGAAACATTGCTGAATCATTAGTTCTCACAGTTTCCCTTTGTTTTTCTGGTTTAGGGGATGCAAGCGAGGGCTTCACACATGCTGGGCAAGCTGTCAGTGACAGGTAGCCCAGCCTGAGTTCTAACAGTTCTTTCACGGATTCCTTAAGAATCATGTTGCACAAAATCATGTTGTGTGTGACTTGCTATAGTCTTCTATTCCACTTTATTGTTTTGAAGTGATGAGGTTGGAAGCCAGGGGCTCCATCATGCTTAGCAAGCTCTCTACTCCTGTGCTGAACCCCCCCTATTCCCTTCCTTTAAAAAAAAAAAAAGCTACTTAGGCATTGAAGCAACTGGATCATCTGAGAATCAGAAATTCCTACTGTCGTGGCTCCATGTGGCACCCGTTTCCTTTGCTCATTACTGGGTCAAGATACTTCAGTTGAACTCAGGGCTAATTCATTGAAATAGTACACAACGAAGCCCGATACCCTCTGAGCAGACTCCACCTGGGGCTGTGGTTTCACAACTTGTGGGTAGATGAGTACTTAGCCCCAAGAAGTGGTGAGGGATTCAGCTCCTTATAAAGGGAACAAGATATGGTCTCCATCCCCAGGGACCTGGGGTGAGAGATCCATGGGTGAGAGCCGGAGGACTGGGAAGCCCCGTCTCCCAAGGCTGAGCTTGAGAGCCGGCCCAGACCTGATGCTTGGTTTTCCTGGCAGCTGGAGCAGTTTAAGGAGGAGAACAAAGACACAGGCTTTGGCTCAGGCACTCGGGCTCTGGAGCAAGCCCTGGAGAAGACGAAAGCCAACATCAAGTGGGTGAAGGAGAACAAGGAGGTGGTGCTCCAGTGGTTCACTCAAAACAGCCAGTAGATCCTGGCCCTGAGAGCCACTCGACTCCGTGGGACACCGACGACTAGCTCAGCAGCCTGTTCAGGCTCTCTGTCCTCAGAGCTCCAGACACCAGCATCCTACTCTCAAAGATCCTGTGGAGCCACCCTAGCTTCTAACTGTCAGGCTGCTCTGGCACCTCCCAGCCCTTGCCTCTCGTGCCAACTCTGCCCCAGGCCCAGGCCTCTGGGGCTGATCTCAGGGAAGCCCAGCTCTGAGGCCAGATTAAGACTTTACTGGACAAAGGGCAGCCCGGATAGAGTCACCCTACACACTTTACCACTTTCTCCACGACACCTCCCCCTCTCCCCCCGCAACAAAGAATCATCAGGATACAAGTTCTATATATATATATTTTTAAAAGAAAATGTAAATAAAGAATTTCTAAAATGAGCTTCCAGACTTGTCACTCAGTGGGAGATTAGTACAAGGGTTACAGAGACTGGAGAGGGGGAGCTGAGGGCATGCCGTAGGTCTAGGGGAATGGAGGAAGGAGTATGCCTCCTCGGTCCATACAAAGTTGGGCTGCAAGTTCATTGCAATCTGATTCCAAGGATAGGTTTTCAGGCACTGAGGAATTTCCCGGAGGTAGACAGGGGTAGATATGGTGGCTCCCATGGAATCCACCCTACCAAATCTCAAGTGGGCAGAGTGCTGGCTGTAGCCCTCTTATTGTCAAAGAGACACTGGGCACCTGGGACAATAGGGGAAGGGTAGTACAGTAGAGACCCTAACCCTAAACGCTGAGTCATGACCTAGGGCATGTACCTCCTCTCCAGGCTCCAAGGTGGATCTTCCAGGGGAGCCCAAGGGCTGGGCTGAGGGTTACAGGCAAGCAGGCCAATGCGCAAGGAGAGCTTGGGAAGATTGGATGAATGGAGAGTGGTTGCAATTGAGGACAGCCTCTTGTGCCAGCTACATATTGACTCCTGGGAATGAAGTACGAAGGCCCACAGTTCTGTCAGTCCCGCACCAGGCTGGGCTTCCCATCTCAATTTGCAAATTAAAAAGATGAGTAAGCTAGGCAGAGTGGCACAACCTCGTTCCCAGCAGAGAGAGGCAGAAGGATCAGGAGTTGGAGACCTGATGGTGGCTAGCTCAGTCGGTAGAGCATGCGGCTCTCAATCTCAGGGTCATGGGTTCGTGCTTCATGTTGGGCACCACATGTGGACAGAGGTTTCTCTCCCACCTGGTCCCGCAGCTGTTAAGTCCCAAATAAATACACAGAGGGTTATATTAATCAAGAGTTGTTTGGCTGATGGCTTAGGCATCTTACTGGCTAGCTCTCTCTTAATTATTAACCCATTTCTGTTAAACTATGTATTGCCATGAGGCTGTGTCTTACCTGTAATGTTCCAGCATGTTACTCCTTCGTTGGCTACATGGCATCTCCCATGAGACTCACTCTCTGTGTTCCTCTTCCCAGAATTCTCCTAGTCTGGTAGTCCCACCTATACTTCCTGGCTGGCTATGTCCTGCCCATCCATTGGTCAAAACAACTTTATTCATCAATCAATAAGAGAAACATATTCACAGCATACAGAAGGACATCCCCCATCAAGAGCACGGTGGGGAGTACAGATAAAGGAGGTCAGTGCCTCCCAAGTCCATCTCTGTCACAAGCTTCAGGAGTAAACAAATTAAAAGAATTGGGGCAGCAGGCAGGAGGGAGCCATTCATAATTAAGTAGTCTTAGTCTAGGTATGGTACGAGGATCATTGCTTCTTCTAGTTCAAGATGATCCCAGAAGTCCTTTGTGCTTGAGAGGAACATGCTGGCCTATGTAAGTAAGGTCTGATCCCTTGTGGGCTGATTGCCTGTGACTGCAGGGTTAGAGCTGTGACTGGATACTTTTGTGCCTTCTTAGGGGTTGGGAATGGGATGGACATTGTAAAAAGCCGAGGGTAAGATGCCTCTGATACTCACTGATCTTCCAGCCTTGAAGAGAGATGAGATAGTTCCGACACTCCCCATTTTGAGGCAGATGTTTGAGTGACTAGTGTACCCAGGGGCACAGTTCATTCACTCACATGCCATGGCACTCATGTGGGGGTCAGAGGACAACATTGTGGAGTTGGTTCTCTCCTTCCACCTTTACTTGGGTTCCAGGGATCACACGAACATCACCAGGTTTACAAGGACCCTGAGCCATCTCTCTGTCCCCTAACTCTTTTATTTGTATCTTGGTATGGTATATCTGCATGTACACATCCTTGTGTGTGTGCAGATGTGTGTGAAGGCCAGAGGTGGTCTTCCCCTATCACTATCCACCTATTTATTTAGTTTTTTTTTTTTTTTTTTTTTTTTTTTTTTTTTTTTTTATAACAGCTGTGGCTATTCTCTGTAGACCAGACTGCCTTAGAACTCACAGAGATCTGCCTGCCTCTGTCCTCCTGGGGGCTGGAATAAAAGGCATGCGCCACCTCTGCTGTCTTATTTATTTTTTGTGAGACAGAGTCCCTTACGAAACCCAGAGCTCGCCTATAAGCCTCACAGACCCTCCCATCTCCCACTCCCAGAGCTGGGATTACTGGTTCCCACCACTGTGACTAGCGTTATACACAGTGCTGAGTCGCTGAACTGTGGTCCTCTCGTTTGTGTGGCAACTATTTTACTGACCGAGCCCCTGGTCTCATAGCTGTAAGAAAAAGGAGAAAGGTGGAGAAGGCAGGCAGGGCTATCAGGCCTTTATTCTTTTGTTACTGTGGAGTCCCAAGTGAAGAGTCAGCTCTTTTCAGCAAAAACAGTGACAGAGCCAGGCTGTAGGAAGCTCACGCAGCCTTAGCCCTACCAGGCCTGGCCAGATGATCTCTAAGGAAAAAAGGAGGTGACTGGCAGCTACAGGGAACCTTGGGGCATCAATTATGACCCACAAACGTTACTTCCCAATGGGAATATTTTTGAAAAATTAATTAATTAATTTGTAGCCCTGGATGGCCTCCGATTATAGACCAGGCTGGCATTGAACTCACAGAAATCTGCCTGCCTCTGCTTCCTGAGTACTGGAATTAAATGCATGTGGCATCAGACACACCCCGGCTATCATCTTCTTTGTTATTTTTGTATGGGTGTGTGTACATGTGTGTGCACATGTGTGTTCACATGTGTGGAGGCCAGAAGTCCACCATGAGTGTCTTCCTTGGTTGTTCTCTACCTTACAAGGACTCTGAAGTCAGTCGTCAAGCCTGAGCAACAGACACAATCAACTGAGGTTTTGGGTTGACTTTTAGACACAGGGGCAGGAGGAACAGGAGTTCAAGGTCATTCTTAACTACATAGCAAGTACCATCATCCCCTAGCCTCATCTGTCTCCAAGCAGCCCTCCTTCCCAAGTGAGAAGGGGGTGATTAGGTACTGGGGTGGGAAAGCTACCAACTTCTCCCTTTCTATCTGCACATCAAAGCGTGAGGAGGGGCAAGATCCTGTGGCCAGCCTTGGTGAGGGGCCCTGCCGGGGCTCCCTGGGCTGCCCTAGATTAAATGTCTGGACTCCTTCACTCTGCACCAACCCTTCCTGTCGCCAGTACCCAGCAGCCATGGCTGGCACTTGACCTTCTGGCATTCAGCTGGGGGAGGGGTCGGTCTCACTATTTTGGGTCCCTGTGGATATCACAGGGGAGAATTGGCTTACCAGAGAGAAATCTACCAGCATTCTCTCTTTCTTAGCTGATGCTAAATGATTGTAGACTATCTTAATCTCAGCGTTTTGTTTTTTTAATTTGAGTTTTTCAGTGCTGTGGATCAAACCTAGTGCTTGTGCTGCACTGTGGAGCTACACAGCCACACCCATCTCAGTATTACAGTTAAGGTAGCTGAAGCCTGAGAGCTTAAGTCATGACTCTGGCATGGGCGCTGGCCTCTGACTCTAATTGTCACCAGTTAGTGATAACCTATTCTTTACTTGGAGCTGAGCCAGAGTCTGTGACATCCACATTTACAAACTCCTGTTCTCTGTCTCCTTAAAATGCTGGCATTCACAAGGCTCTGTGTGGCTGGAAGATGCCAGTGTCCTGAGATGCAGTCAAGATACCCAGACCAAAAGCCTGCCCACCGGAACTTAGAGTTCTAGAGCAGAAACCAGCTAGAATGCAGGCTGCCAACTGCCTTTCCCGTCTCTGCCTGCAAACGGATGGACTCCTCATTGCCAGCGGGGATGAGGATGCTTCCAGTAGGCAGCTGCAGTCCCAGTGACCACAGAATAGCATCTGAAGATGAAAGGTGAACCAAGCTCAGTTAATCTTTACTGCAGCCTTGATTCTGAACCAAGAATTCCCACTCCTCCAAGCCTCACACAGGGCCATTAGAATTCTTGGGTGAGTACTCAGGCAATGCTAAAAGGGTCCCCAGGCCTCCTAACTGGCACCAACATCACCATTCTCACTGCTTTAAGATGTAGCTCATGCTGGGCGTGGTGGCGCATGCCTTTAGTCCCAGCACTTGGGAGGCAGAGGCAGAGAGATCTCTGTGAGTTCGAGGCCAGCCTGGTCTACAGAGTGAGTGCCAGGACAGACTCCAAAGCTATAGAGAAACCCTGTCTTGAAAACAAACAAACAAACAAAATAAAGATGTAGCTCATGACAGTCTGCATGAGACTCAAAGACAACGGATGGGTGGGGGTATAGGGAGGAGTTACAGCTTTGAGAGGCAGGGTTGAGCCTGCCTGCTTCTAGGAGGCAAAAAGAGGCAGGGTTACTTGAGCTGGCTTTTGTTATTCCAGAAGCATCAGGCTATCTAGCCTTCCAGGAAACTCCAGCCAGGTGATTGGTTGGGTTGATTGAGGTGCATGGTCCCCATAGGTTGTGGCCTTCAAGGAACACATGGAAGGGAGCTGGGGACTGAGGCTGCCAAACTCTAGAGGATGCTCATTTCCTGTTGCAGTTGGTAGGTAGGTATTCTCCCCACCACCCTGTGGGCCTCGTGCTGGGACTGTAGCAGCGATGATCTCTGTCCCTTTGGGAGATCATCCTAGGCAAGTCTGAATCATAGGAAGCTTAGGCGCTTGTCTGGTTCTGCCTTGGGGCTAGATCTAGCGACACAGGCACCAAGACCTGTGTCCTCTAGGGGAGGAGGGAGCAGCAGACTGGAGTCAGGGGCATGATGCCTACACCTAGCTGGGAGCTATGGAAAGTTGCTTTTCTTCCTAGATCTCTTTATTCAATTGGAAAGTGAAGGTGCAAGGAAGAACTATTGTGTCCAATCCTGTCTGGACTTCAAAGTCCCTCTCTAAGTGGGACGCTGTGCCCAGATGGCTCAGTACCCAATTGAGTTTGGGAGTCACCTGACTGGGTCATAGGTGCTGTGACCCTACGCAGCTACTACATTTCTTGAGCAGCCATCATGTGCCAAGTATAGGAACCCTGAAGGGCAGGTGGGGTCTACTTTGATCTCCACTGCACATTTGCAGAAACAGACTCAAAGGAGTTTCACGGCTCACCCACAATTATTCAGCAAGGAAGAGTAGAATGTAGTGTGCCCTGAAGTGAGTGGGGCCTGTGTGTGAGTGTGTGCCTGTGTGCGTACACGTGTGTGTGCTGTAAACCTTTCTCATCTTTCCAGGGTTAGTGACAGTCTTTAAGGACTGTCAGACCCTGAAGTTGGAACTAAATCACTTTTTTATTTATTCTTTTAAATCTCATTTTACATTCCAACCGCAGTTCTTTCTTCCACTTCTGACAGATGAGAAAAAAAAAAAGAGAGAGAGACAATAGACCTCTAATAATCACCTAAGCCAGTTCTTCCTTAAAGAGAGGGGGAAACTGAGTCTCAGAGACAAAAGTGTGGAATATTCCTTTACACTGTGTGATTATGTCACTGCGATTGGTTTAATAAGGAAGCTGACTGGCCAATAGCTGATCAGGATAAATTTAGGCGGCAGAGCCAAACTGAGAATGCTGGGAGGAAGAAGGGTGGAGTCAGAGACACCAGCAGAGGCAGAGAGAAATAAGATGATCATGCAGTACTAAGAAAAGGTATCAAGCCATGGGACAAAGCATAGATAAGAAATATGGGTTTATTTAGATGTAAGAGTCACCTAGTAACAAGCCTGAGCTATTGGCTGAGCATTTGTAATTAGTATAAGCCTCAGTGTGTTTATTTGGGAACTGCTGGCAGCACAGAAGCTTGTGCCAACAAGGGAGTAACTTGCCTAAGGGTATGTCAACATAAGGGTATGTCAACAGATAATGGACTGCCATGTAGGACCAGGGTCCCCACACATGGGAGGCCCTAGGTATGGCCAAGATCCTGGACAGGGAATCAAGTTTCCTCACTTCCCTTTCTCCACCTACGCTGCTTTGTGATTTGTTTTTGATCCCCAGTCTGATATATCCCATGATAGCCTTGAACTTGCTATGTGGCAGAGGATGATTATCCTGCCTTCATCGCCCCAGTGCTGGGATTACAGGTGTGTACCACCATGCCCAGTTTTATGTAGTATTGGGTATTGAACCCAGGGCCTTCTGCATGTGAGGCAAGCACTGTACCAACTGAGCTATGTCCCCAGCACTAGTGGTTTTTTTTTTTTTTTAATGAAATGGTGAAAGGGTCCAAGATCTCCCCTGCCCATTTCACCTCTATTCTCAGCCTCTATAACCTACTACCCAGGAAGGATGAATTCCTCATCACAAACTCACAGGGTTCCACTTAATCTTGCCTCCTTTGAGATTCTCTCTTCAACTCTCTGCTTTCCCTCAGTCAACTCAAATCATTGAGTAGATCATCGCATCCTTCCCCAAGAGCCTGTTAGGCTTACTGAAGATGGCTAAATCCAAGCAGCAGGATTGATGGTCTAGTAACTGGGCAATGAAATGCCCCCCCTTGCCCCTATACAATCCTCATCTTTACATTTTGCATTTAGAATCTAGATACTGATTATGGGTCTTCCTATAATTTACCTGATTTGTTAGGAAATAATTTTCCATTGGCACTGAACATCAGGTTGAATGGGGTTCCCTTAGAACTGATGTTGAAGTCCCTTGCTATGATTTAGGTTTTTCATGTGCCCTCACAGGTCCATTTGCTGAAGGCTTGGTGCCCAGGATGGTGAGGCCTTGCTAGAGGGCCTATGGCTGCCCCTCTTTGCTTCTGGGGTCCTGGAG